GCTGAAAAACAGAAAAATAAAACCAGAAACAACTTTAGGAGCCTGTAGCTTCATCAGAGGGGGAAGCACTTCCCTCCCCAGGCTGGCAGAACTGATGGTGTTAAAGACTCAGTGATCACCAAACCCCGCTCTGGCATCTAAAACATGAGTGGAACATTCTGTTCTCTTGAGGTTTCTGTGCTTAAGGACAATCTCCTAAAGTGATAACCATCTGCTGATGCCCAGGCATCTCCCAGCACGCATCCGCCCCAGGAATAAGAAACTGGAAAACTTGCCAGCCAGCCAAAGCTCAGCCAGCTCCCACCCCTCCCACGGGCTCCTACCTGGCCCACAAGCACGCAGTTAGGGATAGCAATGTTCCCAAGGAGGAGACAATTCACTAGTCTCAGGTTCTCTGGAGGCACCGGTGTCAGGATATGGTAAAGCTTCTTCTCCATATCAACTCCTCGAACAATTCCTGAACAAAAGAACATATGCAAAGCTCGGTCATCAGGTATCCCTGCTCGTCGGCACATCCCCACAGACACTCGAGAACCAAACTCCAAATCTGAACTGGAACATTAAATCAAGTCGTAGAAGGAAACTTAAGCAACTACAGGAATTTTACATAAGCCACCCAGAATTCTGCTTCTGCAAACGTGAACCCAGAGAGTCAACTGGGGAGTTCTGAGAAGCTCTGAGCAGTGCCGTGCAGTGACATTCCTCACAGCTGTTACCACACATTAACCAAAGCCAAAAGACTTACAGCACAGCTTCCGACAGCAGACAACACACCACTACTCCTGTATCTCATCCCACTTCTGCAGCTGTTTTTGGGAGAATAGGCAATTCTGCCACTCTGCAACCCGTCTGCCTAAACACAGCAGGTGAGAGCACAGCTCCAGTGTGCTCACCAAAGCCCAGGCAGTCACAGACTGGTGTCTGTGTCAGCAGGACCGGCCCGTCGGTCTGGCACCTGACTTCATCCGGAATGCAGCAGAGCCCAACCCAGCTGGCGTTCACTGCATACATGATGTTGGTGGGAGCAACATCTGTGTGAATAACCCTGAGCGCGACAGCACTGAAAGGTACCTGGGGGGGTGAAAAGAGGAAGAAAAATGCCATCGGTTCCACATCATCTGAGTTCAAATTCAGAGGTAAGACCCTGAGTACACAGACCCTGCATGCTCCCATCCCACACCCACGGGCAGGGCACACACAGCAGCTTCTGCACAGACAGAACACACATAACACATGTGCCATCTGCACGCACAGCACATAGAGAACACACATGCCACCTGCACACACGTGCCACACCAGCATCTCAACAGAAGCTTCACTTCTAGACACCCTGAATACAGTTCTTATCTGTTTGCAGATTACAGTGTTTATTCCTCTTCTGAGAAACATCTGCAGTAGGAGCAGAACTGCCCCCCGCTGTGAACCAGGCTTTCTGCACCATACCCAAGCCTTCCCATAAGGCTCCTTTACCTGATACGGCACCAGGCTGTGCAGCGGGAGCACCGCCCCGATGTCCGGGTACTGCAGGTGCCCCAGGTATCCCAGGATGGACATATCACGCAGGATGCCGCTGTGCACTCGCCTGTAAGAACAGTTCTAAGTCAAAGACAACGTGTGGTTTTGTTCAGCCCACAAATTCCACACAGCACTTAATGTTCTACTTACGCTTCACCTGCCACTCCTGCCCGAGGGAATTCTGGATGGACATAGAGCAACTTGTACTGTGGAACTGACGCATCCTCCCCTTCGGAGCACTTCCAGCTCTCTGCAGCACCCACATCCAGCTGCTTGCACTTAGGCTGCTGCTTGCCCTTGGTGTGCAGCCCGGCCTGGAGGTGGACGTGCTCGGGGGTGAGCGGGGCCATTGCCTTCCAGTCGCACACGTCCATCTGAACAACGTGGCTGGGCGACAGCAGTCGGATGATATCGATGAGCAGCAGCAGCCCCTCGCCTTCAAGAGCACAGAGAACACACAATCGTTGCTGCTACTTCAACAGGTCACACAGCAGCGCTAGCTCAGGGCAGGCACGCTGCAGGTTCTGGTTCTGCGTGGTGCTGCACCACCACCCTCACTACCTCTGTCCCACCCCTCTTTGAGAGAAGGATTGATCCCATTTACCTTTCACCCAGCCCATGGTGTTGATAATTAGAGGCACTTCCTTCTTGTAGCAGCTGAACACGTACTTCATGACATCAAGGTACCTCTCCGTGTCTTGCTCACAGCTGGTCTGGCCATAATACACCATCTTACGGGGCGTCTGCTGGTGAGTGAAGGGGGGACCTGGCAAAGACAGAACCGAGCCTCTAGTACCTTCCTTGAGTCAAACCAAAACACTCCCATTTCTGTAGTACCCACATGCCACCCCTCCCAAAATAACCTGTCCTCTCCCCACCTGCCAACACCTTTCTTGCACAGCCTGCACTTAGGGAGAAACTGGTCTGTCATTTGCAAGACTGTGCTGGAGTTCTGTTTGTTTCGGGTTAGTTTGGGGTTTGTTTCCTTGCTTGAAATCACTGGTTACACACTTACAAATCTTTAAACGACAGTCTATGACAAACTGCCTAAACAGCAAACCAGTCTGGCCATGTCCTTTTAGACAGTGACCCGAATCCAGAAGACCACAAACACCAGCAGTTTTCTGGGCACTGGTTTCTTCACGCTCGTCACAACAACCCTGAACCTGTGTGGATCCACTTTGAACTTCTCAGTGAGTTTCACGTGTGAATACGGATTTTCCTAAAGAGACTTTTCAAACCCGAAAGGCTGAACTTCCCCTTTGACATGCCTCAGCCTGCTCTACCACCTGTAAACAACATCATCTCTTTTAAAAAGAGACAAAAGGAGCAGGAGAATGGCTCCATGTTACTTAGGGAGCTTAGATGTCCCTACAACAAGACTCGAACAGCTGTTGGTTTATTCTCTCTAGGAACCTCTGACATCTGTGGCAGCAGCTTCCCCTCAAGCAGCCTCTGCCCAGAACACCCTGCTTGTTTCAGAAACGGAACAGGTCTCTGATAACCGCAGGAGCAGCGGAACACGTACCCAGCACGGGCTCTGTGACGCTGCTCAGGGACACGCACCCGGGCGGTGTGAATTCTGGCTGGCCTATGTCACACTCCATGTACTCGACTGCAGGAAGGCTGCAGGGAGAGAACCCATGTATACGTCTACCACTTTGTGTTTAAAAGCTATCCACCCTCCAGGCCTGACGGCTCTTCTGAGAGTCCTGTCAGACACATTTTTCCTTCTCTTAAATCCCATGCAGCACTTAAAAGCTTGCAGAACATGGAAAGACTCACCGATTCAGTAACAGGTTAATTAGGTATCTGTTGAATGTCGATTTTCCAGTGTTTTTTGGGCCACATACCAGCACCACAGGGATACCTTCATCTTCCGCTGGAAAGACAAGCACGGTGTGAACCAGACAAATGCCGGCATCACTCTGACCCAGCCCAGGTGATGCTGAGCTCGAGCGTCCCACTCTTTAGAGAAAAACACAACCCTAGATCAGTGTGCCAGGCAGGGCACACTCTCTAATTTTAACTCATGAAAAGCCTCACGAACTTCCTTTTCTTCAGGCTACCAAGGCCCCAACCTGGCCGAGTGCCTGCACTCACCACAGCAGGCCTGGATAAGTTCTTCCAGTGCCAGGTACATGCTCTCCGACACCAGCAGCCCGCGGTCGGGGCTGCACTTCACGATGCCCACGGACGCCAGGACCGCGTCCTCCGGCGTGAAGTTGGATTCCTCCTTTTTCTAGGCGAGAGGGCGAGCGCTCAGCGCGGGTGCGCGAGGCCACAGCGC